CTTTTTAATTGTACGCAGAGCGTTGGTCTCGTCATCGTACGTGCAATCTGATGGTAATTTCCTCTCCACGAAAATCTATTAGGCGATCGTTTTGATCTACGATACGAATCGTCAAATCATCTATTGATCGCGTGACGATTGGAAGATATATGACACGTGGTGGGGTTTCCGAAATCTTATATCGTGGAGGCACTTTGGGTGAAAACTCGTGTATCGTGTGAACAGGTCTGTCATTACTGTAAGAATCCGTAGTTACGTTACACTCTATACGAATCATGTTAACGCTTGTAATGTTTACGGGTGAGTCCGACTCGTGCCATACATCGGACGATAAAACACGGTTCGAGGAAAATCCAAGCAGAGATCCCACATTGTTTGGTTTCGTAAAATCGATTCTATACGAGCAATGTATCTCGCTCTTCATAGTGTTGTTGTTTGCTCGCACGATGAGAGGGTATTCATCGTACGAATTATTCTTAGAGGGATATCTTCTCAATATTTCACGTATCAAGTATTCATCGATCGCCTCCAATTCGTACGATCCTTCAGGAATCACAATTTCTTCATCATCTTCTCCAAAATAAAATTTATTGTTGCTCGAATCAACGTTGGGTATCGTGTGAAACGTCGCGAAATCCATGAGACCTAGTTCATACTGCCCATCGCCCAAATCTATCGGTGGAAAGTACGTCACCGAGAGCACGCTGCTTTTACCCGTCAAGGTAAACGTTAGAGACATCCTCGTTTAGTAAAGATGAAATTAATAATGGGGCGCACCTATCAGAAATCACTTGACAGTAAAAAACAAACAGACAACGTTTACGGTGTATACTTTAAAAATAATGGGTTAATGCTTGGTAACTCCAACTTTGATGTGGACAACAACGACAACATCATCATAAACGGTACGAGGTACAGAGGTATTCGTGGTCTGTACGAATTAATATTTAAACGAATACCGGATGATGCGTTGTACTCAAGTGTCGATCTACAGATGTACAAGAACATATTACTCGTTACGAACGCGTACAAGTGTGGTCACTTGGCGCTAATTGCGTATGCATTAGCAAGTACAAGACAATTTTTACTAAAGGATATACACCAAATTGATCGACCGAAGTGTTTAAAATTGATCAAATTCAGCAAACAAATCCGGTGTCGTACCTGTTAACAGATTCCCAAGAAAATCCTGTCGCAGGAGGACTTTACGAGTACGAGCTACATTCGGTTGCAGATCCAGACGTGTACCTGGTAGAAAAGGTAATACGTAGGAAAGGAAATAAAGTGTACGTGAAATCGTTGGGATTGGATTCGTTTCATAATTCATGGATTGATAAAAGTAATGTTTTGTAAGAAATAATTATTGAAAAAAGTAAGTAAATATAAATATAATAATTATAATAAATATAATGAAAATAAATATTTACAATGTATAAATTTCGATAATTATTTACATCATTTCGACGTCATCATCATTTTCTTCCGCAATACAGTAGTGCCCCCACGGCAAGGTATTTACGCCATTCGTCAACACACATCTCTTATCATCGTGTGGACTAAGAGCAATTTTTTGTTCGCTAATCGAATACACGTTATGTAATTTTGATCGAATGCAGTTTTGTCTAATTGTTGTTTCTGTATGATTTTTCAAAGACTGTATGTAGTCATCAAAAGTTATTTTGTCTACTATAATATTCTTTTTTATTCCCTTAATTTTTTTCACATCATCCTTGTCAAGCACGCGAGTAGTGTACATCTTTGCTCTCAGTCCCACGAATTCTGTCATTATCACGCCGTTATTCTCTTCCTTCATCAGATCTGGCACTTTCTTGTTGACGCGTGGCATACCGTACACGTTACCTTCGGCGTATTCGCTCGTATCGAATCTAGCTATTCACGTTTCATAATATTATACATGTTTTCACACTCGAGCTCGTAAATTGAACTATCTGTGTCTGTATACAAAACTTTACATTTCTGACCAAAATTTGGAAGCATGTAATCATAATGGAAACTATACAAACATTTTTTTGATATGTCCAAAAGACACATACCTACGTACACGGGTTTTTCGAATCTAACTCTCAATTTACGCAATTCTATTGCTACTAAATTTTCATAAAAAATGCTACAACTATGAAAATTCGGTTTGGAAATAAGGTAACGTGTAACTAATTTCACATCTACATGATTACGCACATTTTCCATCGTTTTACTGAATACAGCGTTGTTCATTAATTTAAACAAATTCTTGGCAAACTCGTTTGTAGCTTGCGTTCGCAATATTGTATTCAGTTCGATGTAGCTGCGCAACCATGGAGACTGATCAAATCTTAGAACGCGATAAATTTTTTTCAAGCGGAGTCCGTAACGTAGGCATTGCTGCAGGTTCCAGTAGTGTATGACGTAGCGCTCTTTATCACATACCGTGGCAAGCAATTTCTCGTCTCGTTTACCTGGCGGTTTCTCGCGCACGGGACATAGCGGAAGATCGGCATGCGAATCATGAAGTTCACGGGGATACTCTAAATCTACTTCTAGAATGTACCCCGCGGGCCCGTCCGTGGGAATAGAATTTACATCGAACTCGGATGCCTCGTGTTCGTCGATCCATCCAAAGCCTCCGTACGGTAAAGGTTGAGATATGGCCCAACCATACAAATTGTTTACGTCAAAGTACCTTAAATATTTCGAGGGTTTCGATAGATCGTATGATGGCATGTACTTGTTATTTGCTTTGGCGTACCGGTGCGAGCATTGACTCAGACCACCACGTATTCCACGCTCGAAAACCATTAACATATCCACGTCAGTTAATAATTCAAATTTGATATCTGTAAACTTTAACATTGCATTCCATGTAAAACCAGGAAGAGTATAGTAATATACCGGATCTAATCTATAGCTCTGAATGCAATCGTCTCTGAAATTTTCAAACACATCAGCCAATAATAATACATCAATTTTTAAATACAAATCGCTGTATTCGCCTAATGTTTTAATATTAAAATAATTCCAAACGTTTACTGAATCGATGAAACGAAATTTATGCCATTTTTCTTATCTCGCGCAGTGTCCTTTACATGTTTCGTGAAAGACATGTACTTTTCCTTTGTCATCGGCAGCAAACTTACTTTACCCTCAAATGCGTTGGCCAATTGTTTAATTATAAAATGCGCATTGTACCCAGATAAATTATGAAATATTACAGGCACTGTGAATGAATTTTGATAATTTAGATTGCAACTATTATGCGCCGCACCTCTGTACTTTCCCGTGAAATGGCAATGATCACGAACCTTTGCATCATCTGTGGTGAACGGCTTTTCACACACATGACAATGGTTAGACTCGTTAAAATTTACCGAATCCTGTTCCGTAAATTTCATCGGCTCCACGGTTTGGAACTTTAGTTCTAATTGATGCGCTTAAAGATGTGTTAGTAGTAAAGGTAGGCGGGTTCTAAGCCATGGGGCTCCGAGGGGGGAGCGGAAGGGGGGCGAGGGGGGAGCAGGGGAGGGGAGCGGGCACGAGTGGAGGGGGTCGGTAATTATTACCTACAGTCGGTAAGGTAGAGGGGGGACATCACCGGTCAGTAATTATCAGTGATCGGTAAGAAAGAAAAACGCAAATGATACATGTAACGAAATAAGCGCGCACGCTGTAAGGGAGGGGGAAACCATGTTCGTCGTCTTCGCGGGAGGAAAGCCTGCACGCCGTAAGGGAGGGGAAACCGTCCCGTTCGCGCGCAGGAGTGGGGGCGTCGTTGCGGGCCTCGCGGGTTCCCTCTCTCTCGCGGCCGAGTATTTTCTTCCCCGCACTCACGCCCCGTGCAATATATAATATTACATTACAATCTATGATATGGGAGGGAATGCGCTAGAAAGAAAGACACATATATCCAAGCTAATTCTTTTTTATTGATAACTATATTCCAGCATTACATCTAAACCTAATGATAACAATTCAGAGTCAATCAATGAATGACGCTCAAAATTTTCATGTTCAACAATTGCATTTGCATAATCCTTAATTTCAGCATTGTGTATTATATCTATAAACTTGTTGTACTTTGATTCTACCAGGTACAAGTTTTCAGACAGCCAACTGTACATGTGATCGACACAATATTCGAAAGTGAACAACTTTTGTACGGTTTTTTCACTCATGAACATAGAGACGGTAGAATTTGAGAGTTTTGCGAGTTTTACGTCGTTTAGTTGTCGGAGTTTCACTGTTACATCATTAATGCTTATCGGCTCGCTCGAGGTTACTGGTGTATCAGCAAAAATCTGCAGAATGTTATGCCTCTTTCGTAGGAAATCTTTCCACGTATCCATAGAAAATTTAATTTCGTTTCCACGAGAGTCTCCTATAGCCAACTCTACGTCGCAGGAACCACCGATTCGAACCCCGATGTCGAGATACTTGTAGAATGTATCCGTCAGGGGATATCTCCTCCCCAGTATACGCACCACGCGTGTTACTCTACGTTCCGAATGAACATTATCGCTATCGCTGACAAGAGAAATAAAAATTATAAAGGATATTGAATTTTGACTGCATATTTTGCAATATGTTGTCAAAGAACTTATTGTGTGCGCGATTTCTTTGTTAATGGTTGGTTGAACTCCTTGTTCGGAAGATTCTCTCGCGTTACTCGAGCGATTTCAGCATTGAACCACATCGCTGATGTTTCGATACGAGGCGATAAAACGATGTTGCAAACAATGACTGAAAAAACGCATTTAGACATTTTTATTTAACACCCCCCACTCTTTGTTACATGAACAAAAAAAAATGCTGAAACAGCAAATCTCCCTTCCCACACACATTTCCCTTCCTTATCCACATTTATTTTTAGCATACACATCTTTACGTAGCGCGTGATCCAATTTTTTTTATACGTAATAAGACCCTCATCATCGCGGAGTCGTTCTAATGAATTGATACATCAGTGGTGTAATTCCCAAAAATATATATATACGTTCTCTGGAAAACATACGAAAACAGCGATATGGAATATGAGGGGATTATGAAAATCTGCAGGCAGCGAAATCATAGTAGGAGCATATCATGTGACAAAATCATGTAACAAAATCACGTGACAAAATCACGTGACCTAGAGTATAAAAATTGTGCTGCAGATTGAACTGCATTCAAACCGTTCTGTAGTGACCCCCAGCGAAGAAGTGAGTGCAACCATGGAAGAACTCTTGGAAATGGAAAGTCGATTGTGGGACCAGGCCGATCGATTGACTTCGCAAAAAGAATACCTCGCATGGGAAGAACGATGCAACGAGTGCCTCGAGTCGCTGGAAGAACATAGTCGAGCAAAACGCCCTCGATTATCGATCGGCGTTCAACAATCGTTGATCGCTCGTATCGCGCGTCTCGATAGTCTAAAGTATTCGTTGCGCAGACGTTTCGTGTACGAAGGTGCCGGCCATTCAAGCACTGGACTCTTTCGGCGTGAAATAGACACTGCGTTCGAGAGCCGCGTATTAACCAGCGCTGTTTTAAATTCGCACTACATCGAACCGCGTAACTTTCTTCAGGTTGCGAGAGACGTTGTGCTTGAGCATATACGAAAATACTTTTGCAATAGGTATGTATATAATAATTCTTTTTCCTTTTCTAAATATGTTATGTTTGAAAAAAAATTTATGTCTTTTTATTGCAGATGCTTGCACTACTTTAGTTCGAGTGAGAAGCTGGAAGCTCACACCGTAGATTGCGAGAAGATGAACGAATGCGCAATCGTATTACCAGATGATGAAAGCAAGTGGCTCAGTTTCGATAACTACATCCGAAAAGAGCGATTTGTGGTGTACGCCGACCTCGAGTGCATTCTGGAGAAAACTGATCGAGAAGCACCAAGATCCACATACCAACATCATAAAGTATTTAATATTGCATATTATGTTCAATGCGCGTACGATTCATCCTTGTCGGTGTACCAATGTCATCGTGATGCGAATTGTGTTTCCTGGTTCGTCAAAGAATTAAAGAATTTGGCACATTTTGTTAAATTAATTTTATCAAATAACATACAAATGGATGATATAACGAGTGAACAGCAGGAGGCATTTCGCAACGCGACGCATTGTCACATTTGCGAAAAACCGTTTGGAGAAAACGATACGAGGGTTCGCGATCATTGCCATCTAACCGGTCGGTACAGAGGTCCCGCGCACTCCAATCGTAATCTAAATTATACAAACTCTTTTTGCATTTCCACAGTTTTTTATAATTTGTCCGATTACGATTCGCATTTTATTATCGAAGAAATAACTATAGCTTTCGAGGATGCCGTCAGTGTATTGCCGATAACAAAAGAAAAGTACATTTCGTTCACAAAAAGTGTCAAAGATCTAAATGGACCGTCGCGAAATTGTATACAATTGAGATTCATCGATTCATACAAATTCTTGAGTACTAGTCTCGATAAATTAGCGTCTTTCTTAGATAAAAGCAAATTAAGAATTTTACGAACAGAGTTTCAAAATTTGTCTACCGAAGATTTCGAATTATGACGCGAAAGGGTGTTTTTCCATACGAGTACATTGACTGTGCCGAAAAGTTGGAACAATCATATTTGCCATCGCGCGAATCATTTTACAGTTCCTTGACGGGTGATACAGTATCGGAGAGCGAGTACGCGCACGCCGAGAACGTGTGGACACGGTTTTCCATTCAAACGCTGGGCGAGTATAGGATTTGTATTTGAAAACAGATGTCTTGCTGTTGGTCGGTATTTTTGAAAATTTTCGTGAAAGCTGTATAACAAGTTACGGACTCGATCCCGCGTATTATTACACTCTGCCGGGTTTTACGTGGGATGCCATGCAGAAGCATAAAAAAGTTAATTTCGAATTACTAACAGATATCGACATGGTCCTGTTTATCGAATGCGGTATACGCGGCGGATTAAGTCAATGTTCAGGTAGATACGCGAAAGCCAATAATAAGTACATGCAGTCGTACGATCCATCGACAGCATCGTCGTACTTAATGTACTTTGATGTGAATAATCTGTATGGGTGGGCAATGTGTCAACCACTGCCATATGCAGAATTTCGATGGGTCGACAACGTTGCAAACTTTGACGTGTCTTCGATTGCTGCCGATTCGCCTACGGGTTATATTCTAGAGGTTGATCTAGAATATCCCCAACGCTTGCACGACATTCACGCGGACCTGCCGTTCTGTCCCACACGTGCCAAACCACCTGGCAAAAGAGAGGACAAGCTGCTGTAACTCTATACGATAAGCAGCGCTACGTTATCCACTATCGTAACCTGGAGCAATGCACGCGACATGGAATTCGTATTACAAAGGTACACCGCGTCCTCCAATTCGCACAATCACCCTGGCTCCGCGATTACATCGAATTAAATACAAAGTTTAGAACTCTCGCTACAAACTATTTTGAAAAGAATTTGTATAAATTGATGAACAATGCGGTATTTGGCAAAAGTATGGAGAATGTACGCAATCACGTCGATGTAAAATTAGTAACAAAATGGGAAGGGAGGTACGGAACGGAAGCCCTTATTTCAAACCAAATTTCCACAGTCGTAGCGTGTTTTCGGAAAACTTAGTTGCCATCGAACTGCGAAAGCTTGCGATGAAGTTCAACAAACCAATCTATGTGGGTATTTGTAGACTAGATATATCTAAGGTTTGTTTGTATGAATTCCATCACGATTACATGTTACCCACACATGACGATAAATGTAAAGTTATGTACACCGATACGGATAGTTTAATTTACCACATCGAGTGCGAGAATATTTATGATACTATAAAACGCGATATTAATCGATTTGACACCAGCGATTATCCGGTAGGGAACGTTTACGATATACCGCTTGTAAACAAAGAAGTCCCCGGTTTGATGAAAGACGAAAACAATGGGGCAATAATGACAGAATTTGTTGGACTCAGAGCGAAAATGTATGCACTGCGTGTAGATGGTAAAAAAGATACGAAAAAGGCGAAAGGTGTCGTTTTTGAGTGTATGACTGAACTGCTCGACGACTGACGCTTTCATCACTGAATACGTTGAATAATGATTTATGTTGTATTTTGACAAAAGTTTTTGCACATTTGCGTTGTAAAATTCCTTTCCTTTGTCGGTTTGCAAATTTTTCGGATACCTTCCACTGTTTCGGATTATCTTTCCGATCGCTGTAGAAACTTCATTTCCACTCACGGTTTTGAGGGGTGTGGCCCATGCATGCTTACTCAGCACATCGATAACAGTGAGTATGCAATGGAAACCTCTGTTATACCGCGCGTAAGGTGGCATCTCGACCACGTCCGCTTGCCATAAGTCGTCGTACCCATGTACTATGACGCGTCTTCGGGGAAAATTTCTTCTCACCGGAGCATGCAATTCTTCCACGAAACGCCGTTTCTCCGTACTAGGAGTTCTCTTCGCAGTCATGTATGACTCGACACTGACGCAAAGACTTGACGTACACGTCTTATCAAACATTAAATAAGTGCTCAACGCAACGGTTGGTTGGTCGATCGATCGGTTGACCAGTCTGTTGACCGGTCTGTCGGTCGGTTGACCGGTCTGTTGACCGGTATGTCGGTCGGTTGATCGGTCGGTTGACCGCTCTGTTGATCAGTATGTCGGTCGGTAAATACGCTCAATGTCCAGCTATTGATGTGTCTGCATTAGATTTCGGAATTCGGTAATATCTCTTTCTAATTTATTCAGCTCATCTTTCAAGCTCTGAACGAAATTTTGAAACATAATCATCTTTTTGTCGAATACGTCTTGTCGACTTTTTATAACTGCCATGTTTTCATGCAAGTACAGCTTGTTGATAGCATTGCCATCCTCTACAGGCGATGCTACCCATCGAATCCTGCGCGACTTTGCGTCATAATTGGTGCCGACAACACAAAGAGCGTTGTCGCGTACATAATTTCCGACTACTCCATTCCAATGATAGTATGATTCCATTCTTCCAATCGATGACCCAAACTTGTTGATTGATATTTTAATAACGATTGACTGTATCGCCAAGGTGCAGCTTAATTTATAATGAATTCTGCCTCGCGAAGTTCCTCGATAATCGATAGCATCTCATTGTCGTGAGCATTGTGACTGGCTTGACGTGAAGCCTCGAGCAATCGAAGCCGATCTACGAGTTCGTTGGGATCGTTCTAGTGAACGTAATCAATGTTGTTTTTGGTTAATCTCATGGAACACGGTATGCTTTTTTCAACTTTTTTATCTTGCAATAAAGGTTTGCTTACATGTTTGTACTTGTATCCTCTGTTGCCTAATGTTTGACCATACAAATTGTGCTTGTGCTTATGCGCACTCGTTGTCAGTAGTATGTCCCTGTATTTGCGTTCATCAGCCTCAGTGTAAATGTCGTTATCCGGAGTTTTCTTGAATATCAGTTCATAAAGGCCGGGTGTCCCCGAATATCGTATGCCATCGATAATTATGTTATCCGCATTGTCCACGTCAACATGCTTGTTACCGAGCATCAGTCCATCATTGGTGAGATAAACACCGTACACGAAATCCATACCAACGTCTACGTCACCGCGTAATACAGGTGCGATGTATTTTTGACTCAGTGGACCTTCCGGCGTTTGCAATTGGCTTCGAACAGATGTCGAGAAATAGCTGTTTGAACTTTCAAAATCATCTTCGTTTGCTAAGCGTGTTGTTGTTGTTGTTGTTGTTGTTGTTGGTACTGTCTTAATCGGTGTAGAGGTCGGTGTAGAGGCTATCAGGTTCATTTAGGGTAAACTGCTTAATCTCAATTTTTTTTATATTTGGCGGTTTCGAGAAATTTAACCACAAAATTAATTGTATTTTATCCGATTCCTTGATATTCGGAGTGGATAATGGTTCGCTTCCGATATCTGTGTTATTGTGTAGATCATAATTTCTTAACGTGTTGCTGACAATTGTCTTCAGTGGTTCAGTAACAGGTTTAAAGTGTTTTTCCAACGCAATCTCTTTGTCAATTTTACCAGTTTTCAATTCACAATACTTTCTGCAAATCAAATCGCTCGTTGTTGCAATCTGTTTCGCTATCCTCTCACGATCTTCAACGCTGTTACTGCTCATGTTGGAACACTGCTTTCTCAACGTATCGGAGATAACTGGACGTGTTACGATATTGCAAAGTCATTAAATCCTTTTCTATAGCGACCATTCCATAACGCACTGTCTTTGTCAATCACGACAAATCCATATTTTTCTTGCCAGAAAGCGGTACACAATTTGCAGAAATTGTCAAAAGATATGTCTGTATTTACATGATCGTTGTATACATGCTTCAGATTTGTACCATCTTGTTTGAACACGATCAGCAGGTTCGCGTTGTCGCGTATCAGATGTTTCGGTATCTTCGCATATGTCTGACAAAGATAGAAACAGTCAACGTCCGAGTGCCTACCCATTGCATGGTATTCTCTTACCGCATTTTGCTTATCGCATGCCACGTCGTCAAAGATAAAATCGAATTCCGAAGTGCCTCGCTTGATGGAACGACGTCGCTATTATTCGAAAATGTAAAATAACCAATTTCGTGTATCGACGAGAATATATTTTCTAGATATCGATATTTCGGTTGTTGCAATGATTTCGAGTACACGTATACGTCTTCGAAGCGAACACCGTGCGGACTTTCTAACAAACTAATCAGAATGTTCGTTTTGCCGCAATTCGATGGGCCACAGATGATACCATGTATAGAGGTCGGTAGCATGTTTCCATGTTTGCGTACTTCTTTCTCAGACTGTGCCTTTTTGTCTACATTAGTCACTCTAATCGCAGGTGATTGGCGCACGAACCGCATCGTAGCTGAGGTAAAAAATGAAAGAAAACGTATGTGTCGATGTTGGGAGGTATTTATACTAGCGTGACCCAGACGTATCAGCCAGTGTAGAAATGGCTTTCATACTGATCGATAGTGATACACTGTTCGACTTGACTGTGGAGCAATTGGAATACGTGCCAAAGATAGTACTCTTGAATCGGTTCGCTAGCGACATTCATTACGCGTGGGATAAACTGCCGAAACATATAAGAGCTGATCCTGAAGTCCAGTCTTATCGTAAGTGTCTCTTGCATTACTATCGTCCAGATCAACGTACGCACATAGACGGACCAACGCCTATGAAAAAAGATTGTTACCTATGCGTAGAAGGACAGGAGCAGGACTTATAAATACTCTAATAAACAAATTACCGTTTGAGCTACACGCACCATGGTATCAATTTTGCGGGCCGGGTACACGCCTGGACAAACGTTTAGCACGCGGCGATCGAGGTATAAATCCGTTGGAAGCAGCTGTCTAGGACGGCTCGAGAACGTCCAGCGCATAACTGCGAAGGACGCTACATTCGACGAAAGGGCGACTGCTGCAGCTGTTTGGACTGCGATGAAAGCTAAGACGAAGCTTGGAATGGGGTTCAAGAAGAAAAAGAGTCGTAGTAAGAAGAACAAGGGGGAGCGAGTTCTACCGATAACAAAGCGTGGCGGTATCCTCCCGTTTCTCCTTCCCGCCTTATCAGCTATAGGAGCGTTAACCGGTGGTGCTGATGGCGTGGGTAAGGCCGTGAACGACGCCAAATCTGCGCAAAAACAGCTGGAAGAAATGCAACGGCATAATCGTGCTATGGAAGGTCGCGGAGTACATCTCGCGCCGTACAAACGCGGACGAGGAGTTCCAAAGAGAAAAAAAAAAGCGTACGTGGCAAAGCGTATGCGTGTTCCATATTTCAGGGGTATTTTTATGAGCAATACTTTACCAACAGATGCGATACACAGGAAAGAGAGCGAAATAGTAAATTTGGATACTTTCGAGGGACCTGGTACTCATTGGGTTGCGTACGCAAAACGGGGAACTCGCACCATATATTTCGATAGTTTTGGCAATCTTCAACCGCCGAGGGAACTGATACAGTATTTCAAGAATAGTGTAATCGAGTATAATCACAGGCCTTATCAGCGCTATAATCAGAGCAATTGCGGACAGCTATGTTAGCAGTTTCTGCAGACGATTGACAATCAATTTAAGGGCAGTCATTGCACGCTTTAACTCCAGTATTTGTTTGAACATGTCGCTGACGTTAACGCTCACCGGCCAAAGTAGCATTCTCGCAATAAGCTATTTTCCGTCCATCAATTTGAGGGATGGTGATTACGAGCTCGGTCTTACGGACTATGAGACTTATTACACCATACCGAATGTAAATTTGTCGAATAATAAATTTTACTACGATAACGATGATAAGCAAATCATTATTCCGGAAGGATCTTATGAGCTGGATGACATTCACATGTATTTGCAACGATCGCTTTCGCATAGTAATGAGGGGGGGGGGAACCCCTGATACTTAGAGCTAACAACAATACGATGAAGAGAGAAATCATGTGCGATTACAGCATTAATTTTACCAAACCCAATACTATTGGCTCGTTGCTGGGGTTTTCGACGAATCGGATGCTGCAACCGCGAAAATGGCACGAATCGGATGCGCCAATCAATGTAATGACGTAAATATTATTCGCATTAATGCAACGTGACGGCTGGTGCTTACAGCACTAACAAGAGCGTGCACACGATACATGAGTTTTCGCCTTCCACCTGGATATAAGATATCGGAAAGACCGACACAGATCATTTACCTTCCGATCACTGCACGAAGCATTTCGGATTTGACTATTCGCGTCGTGGATCAAGACGGTCAATTGTTAGATTTTCGAGGGGTGCAGATCACCGTTCGACTGCATATACGGAGACAACGGCCGTAGTGGGAGATGCTTGTATTGAATGAAGCGGAGCAGACGACACGTGAAAACAAAGAGAAAACAATTCGATCGCCTGTGAAACTCACTGTATCGAATATTGGCGGTCTAAAATCATTGGGCGAAAAGACAATCACCTGCGAAGCTGACTGCATCGAATACTGAATTTCTGAAACCGTTGAGTATGGTTGTACGAAATGACTAATATCTTAAACATTGGAGGTGAACCGATCTTTGACGACAGCATC